GACTGCATAAATTACCGTCTGGGAATCCGGGAAAGTTTTCGACATCCGTGGTAGTGGTGAGTTGGCCTCCAGCGGCAACGCCTGCAAGATAGACGCCGGAATTAATAAATCGCTTTCTCAGCTAATGAAGCAACAGCCAACGAAAAGGGCGGCAACAGTAGTGCAGGGTGATGTCAAAGGGAAATGAGAAGCAACAACACAAACCAGCAGCAAGGAATCCCTCAAACATGACTGGGTTCAAGTTTGCACGCGCCAAGTAGACTGTAAATCGCGACTGCGGTGTTAGAAGTAAGCTGACGGCATTCGGATCTGCTCACTGGCGGCGGTGTGTCCTGCTGGGCCTGAGCCTGATTGGCGGATAAAAAACACAGGATTCGATGAGCAAGATGGATCAAGAGCATCAGGAAGCCTTACCGATGATGACGACTTTGTGGTGTGCTGGGATGGGGGCCATTTTTTCTCTTTTTCCGTTAACGTAAATAAATATTTTGTGACCAATCCGTTTTATTGAAGCATGCCAACTGTAAACGTGGACAAGGAAATCCTGTTCAAGGGGCTCGGACGGGTCTTCAGTGAGTGCTCGTTTGTTCCTGGGCGCGAATGCGGGTGCATGCTGATCGTAGTCGTCAACAGCCATGGAGGAGTTCGAGGAACTCTGCTTCGACTACGGCATCGAGCTGGAAGAGGAGGTGCGTCTGCGCAGGGCCTCCACCGTTATTTAGTCCTAACGAATGTGTCTATCGTAGACCTCCGAACGTGAAATGGCCGCGAAGGAAGTCGGCGCGGAAAAGGCAAAGGAGCTTTCGAACAGGCTCATTTATCGAATCGATATCCCCGCCAACAGGTGTGTTTATTTTACACTCTTGGTGCAATATCCTTGCCGAAAAGGCTTGGCTTGTTGCTGCGTTCTGAAAGAAAATGCGCCCAATTAAACCAGATACGACATGCTCTGCGCCGAGGGAATCATTCGCGCGCTGAGTGTGTTCCTTGGAAAGCAAGCCATCCCAGTCTACAAATGCGTCTCGCCTCCTGGTGGAAAACATCAAAAGCTCGTTGTCAAACCCGAGGTCTATTTTATTTTTCGAAAACACGTCACAGGAAATCAAACTGTGCCTTATCTTTCCTTTTTCGCCCGCAGACTGGTGCCATCAGAAAGTTCGTCGTTGCGGCTGTCTTGAGAAACATCTCGTTCACCCAAGACAACTACAACTCTTTCATTGATTTGCAAGACAAGCTCCATGCAAACATTTGCAGGTGAGCGGCTTGTACCCGTGTTTGCCTTATGGAAGTAATCTAACTGGGACCTCGCATATTTTAGACGAAGAACGCTTGTTGCGATCGGAACCCACGACTTGGACACAATTGAAGGCCCATTTTCGTATGAAGCGCTTCCACCAAAGGACATCAACTTTATTCCATTGAACCAAACACAATCGATGAACGGAGAAGAGCTTATGAACTTTTACGAGGTTTATCCGGCTCTTCAAATGTATTCATCTGTTTCGGTGTTAAAACGAATCGCCTTTTCCAAAACAGGCCGACCGCAAATTGAGCAAGTTCCTTCCAATCATCAGAGACGCTCCACGTTACCCAGTCATCTATGACTCAAAACGTCGCGTCCTGTCGCTCCCACCCATCATCAACAGCGACCACTCAAAGATTAAGCTCGCGACCAAAAACGTTTTCATCGAATGCACTGGAACGGACTTGACAAAAGCGAAAGTCGTATTAAACACCGTTGTCACTATGTTTTCGGAATACTGCAAGGAAAAGCTGACGTGAGACATTTCATAATATCCATCATCTCTCCATTATCTCACGAGCTTCCTGAATCATCAAAGCGTTGAACCTGTCGAAGTCGTTCAAAGTGACGGAAAATCCGTCCTGTACCCGGACCTTTCCATGCGCAAGTTTGAAACGGACGAAAAATACATCAACAGCTTGATTGGAGTGTCTCTGCCTCGCGACAAAATGATTACACTCCTTGGAAAAATGGGCGTGACTGCGTCCAAAGGCGCTGCTTCAGACAAGGCAATCTCTGTGCAAGTTCCACCCACCCGTAGTGACATTCTGCATCCAGTGGACATTATGGAGGATGTGGCGATTGCGTATGGATTCAACAATATCACGAAAACAATGCCAAAAGCTAGCACGGCTGGTGCCATGTTCCCGATCAATAAGCTGAGCGATAAAGTTCGCAGAGAGTTGGCGCTTTCGGGATACACCGAAGTTCTTCCATTGATTCTTGTGAGTATTTACCGCCTGTTTCAGTTGCCTCGTATCATTGAACTCGTATCATCATTATCCGCCATCACAGTGCTCGCATGATGAAAACTTTAAGTTTTTGAAGCGAGTCGATGACAACACCACCGCCGTCAAATTATCAAACCCAGCAACGATCGAGTACCAAGTTGTTCGAACCAGTCTTCTTCCAGGACTCATGAAGACGCTGTACAGCAACAAAAAACTCCCGTTGCCCTTGAAAATTTTCGAAGTTTCTGACATTGTCCTCAAGGATGACTCTGTTGAGCGCCGAGCCCGAAATGTGAGGCATATGGCGATTGTGTATGCAAACATGAAGAATTCCGGATTTGAGGTTTGTTTTTCTTTCGCTATTTTTAGTGATCTTCCTGGCTGACTTTTTGTTTTTTCAGCTCATTCATGGAATGCTGGACCGCATTATGCTCATGCTCAATGTTCCCATGTACAACGGATCAAACGATGGCTACTACATTCAGGAGTCTGACAGTGAGCAATGCCTCATCCTTTGCCGCGTCTTCAAATATTTAACCTTTTACCCCTTTCACAAATGCAGATGAGACGTTTTTCCCTGGACGTCGTGCGGATGTGTACTGCTACGGCCAAAAGATTGGCCACATGGGGATCGTTCACCCTGAAGTGTGTCAAAACTTTGAAGTCCCCTTCGCAACGAGTGCGTTGGAGATTACCATTGAGCCATTTGTGTGAAGAAAATATGCGGGGCGTTTTGTGTGATTATGAGGCTTTTCTGATGGACAAAAAGAAGCTATTTTTTGAATCTGAGGGCTTTTCGCCGGGAAAATGCGAATACATAAACTGGTTACTTTTTGTTTTCACAACCTGTGGGGCTTGGGAATTATCTGTCTAAACCATGAGGAGGGCTGCGCCGAGCCTCTTTCGCTGAATATGACAGTAAATCAAACGGTGAAGTTGGCCGTTCGAGAAAGCTTGAATGAGAACGAATCTGGACTGCAGAGTCTGATTCATCCGTCGATGTGATGTACAAATACTGACTGTATTTTATTTCCTTCCAACAAGAGTAACGGCAAAACAACCGACAAAGGAAGGGGAGCAGTGGCCTATTGTTCTTTTTGTTTCCCGCAATTTGCATTCACTTCAACTCAGTGTTGAAGACATAATCCCACAGCTTATTTGTGATTCCAAACCCAAGATGCGCGTTCTTGTAGTGGTGGTCAAGGTGGTAGGTTTTCATTTCGCGCAGATACGCTGTATACGGCCTGGCGTGGTGTAGATGGTCTGTGTGGGAAGAAAGAGCGGAGTTGTGAGATTTTCAGTCCTGATTGCCGGAAAGGAGACACTCACAATGAATCAAGTCGTACAGCATGAACCCGCAGTACGCGCCGCCCGCCACAATATTTCCGGTGCCCACGGGAAACAACGCAATAACGACCTTGTAGACGGGGATTGATAGGACCAGACCAAGAGCAGGGGGCATGACGAGTCTCATTCTATAGTTCAGTGTCAGGAACAGTATATAACCTCCAAAAAACAGAATCTACGGGGAATAAACGAAACTTGTCCATTGGCAAGAAATGGTGAATCCCATGCAACAGAAAATGAAGCGTGAACGCGACTTGGTTGTCCGGCAAAAACTCGTCAATATGGAACAGAAACCGATGCAGCGAGTATTCGACAAACGTCCACACCAAAATCCCGACTGCGAAAAATGCGGGGACAGTGTGCAGCGATGCGCCGAGTTCGGTGATGGCGTGGTGAATGTTGTAGATGGTGATGGGGATGTAGACTACCGGGATGATCCACCACGGAGTCAATGAAAACATTTCGAGGTACCATGGACCAAAGAGAGGGGCGCTGCCTTTCACTTGGCGAGGTAGATGGACCTTTTTTTTTTTTTTTTTTTGATTTGTAAGAATGGGAGTTGATGGAAAAAATCAAGAAGCGCAACCAACCTGCTCCACGTAGAACTCCTTAGTGAATTTTGCGCCCCACACTTGCGCAAGCATTGGACGAGTCGGGTCAATGAAATCGCTGCTCTTTCTGCCAAACCCGAGAGCAACCGGAGTTGTCGCAGTTGCTGCGTCCTTGTCTGTCTCTTCCTCCCCGTCTATAAGCGTTCCAATGTAGTACCCTTCGAGCATTTTGTACGCCGCTGTCGAATGTGCGTGCGTGTTTTCGTCCCCCATAATCTCCTCAATGTCAGTTCCGCCCTGCTGAAGAATCGAGTCGGCACCCCCAGGATGGTCTGCGATAAACTGGAGACAATACAGTTAGTGCATTGTACAATATCAGAGAGGCAGAACTCAAACAGAAAAGGTAGTATACATCTGTGACATCGTAGACTTTTTTTTGAGGTGAATCAGCAAAAGACAGAGGCATTAGCTCGCGGACGAGGGAAGAATAACCTAATGCACAAACCTTTCCCACGCAGTGTTACCCATACGCTGCGCGATGTCCGGTGCTCTTCAACCTGTGCTGCTGTGAAGGTGGTGAATTCCTTGTTGGTCATTTCTGTTGTTTTGAGGGCTGAAATTTGGGCCAGGTTTTGATATATTGATACACCCGCGTCCCAGCTTCATCACTCGATTCGCTGTGTAAGGGCCAGCCGAGTGGGCAATGAAAACCAAGGAGAGCGGCCAGATTCTGCGCCATGCTTGAAACCATCTGAGCAATCGTGTTCTTATGCAGAATGTAAGGATCACACATCTTGAAAGAATCAGCAAAAACGTTTTATATAATCCTTATTTTTTACTATTGACATCGGTTTCTTAGTGTAGTGGTTATCACGTGTCCTTCACACGGACAAGGTCGCGAGTTCGAACCTCGCAGAAACCATTTTTTCTTCCAAGCACTGCTGTATCCGATAACCCGGTTGAGTGCTTGATTGTTGGCCTTTTACAGAGAGCATCGGCAAGTTGACAGTCTCATCCCCACCTTGTGCGCTTAAGCAAGGACAACTTTATTCACACTTTGCAATAAATCTAACTCACTATTCGCCAAGCAAACCTTCGTTCATTTAGTTTCAGTAATTGCGCACAGGCAGTTCCACGACGTACTGTTCCAGACTGTCAATCCCCTTCTCGCTCAAGGGAAGCTTCGAAAAATTCAAGAAACGCTGCGGCGGCACGACAAAGAACAACTCCAGTTTATCGCACAAGCCGCAAAGTTGCTTCAAAACGTTGACTTCTTGTGCCTGATGCTGAACGCTCAAAATACCGCAAAATTTGCATGTCGGGAATAGGATCTTGTTTGAGAGGAACTCGCACGCCACCAAAATCCTGCAATGTCAGGATTGAAGTCTCGCTCGTCTGCAAGTTTCGGCATTGGAGTCCATTCCCGCCAGACAGACTACCAGAAGAAAAGGCATGGTGTCCATTGATTTCAAACAAGTGTCGCGATATCTCAGATGGTCTACATTGCAACATATCTTGAAGATCTGTCACCATTTGTGTTGGATACTTCTCCCACAGTTTCTCAACAACGTACTTTGAAGCAAAGGCTCTATGACGGAATCGATACTGGCCGTCATCACTTGTATTCATATGGAGCAGCAAATGAGCTGCTGGATGTACAATTGACTGAATGCCGCTATGGCAAACCCATTGCAGTACTTTCTCATCTGCCAGTTCTTTTCTCATGTCAGCAAAATCGTAGGAAATATCAGAATTGAAGATGGACCGCGGAATGCCACCATACATGCGCAGCTGTTCACGGAGCACATCCACTGGTACATGTGGGTAACAACGCGTGCGACATGCTGCCAGTTCCTTTGGAGTCCAAACTGGCAAAAACCACATGCATCTGTTGGTGTGTTTTCCAAAACTCCAGTGAGCATTTGACATTGGCGAACCAATGTACACAGTGACACAAGGACTGAGAAATGATTTCGTCACTCCGTCAACTGCGTAAAGCGTGTCGAGGCTCCTGGACAAAAAGATCAGCATGGAAAGGGTCCAATAGAAAAGCGGCTTGTTTTTCCAATTCGTAGCATATGTAGGAATTGCCGGTTTGATAGATGATTCTTTTCGGGTTGAAGGACTTTGCTTGAGACACATCCATGGTTTGGAACTCAAGTGATGCAGCATGTAGACAAAGAACAGCGACTTTCCGGTTCCTGGAGTTCCAGTGATTGCAAGGTTTTCATGCCCCTCCCCAACTGCCTTCGAAAGTAGATCAAAGATATGTTTGTAGCACTGTCGGACATAAAGTCTTTCAAGTTTCTGACTTGGATACGGAAGAGATGCTGGCGTAGGCGAAACAATCCACTTGTCCACGAGCTGTGCGTCTTTGAATGCTTTGAAGTCTGCCGTTAAACTAGGAATTGTGCGATTGTAGATGCGTCGCTGTTCAAGGACCTCAATCAACGCCAGACCATGATAAAATGCTCGCTTTTGCGGGGTAACCAGAAAGCAACCCTCGTCTGTGAAGTAATCAGCGTGAAGGGCACTAATCCGAGCCCACTTATTGATGCGATTATCGTACTTGTCAAAGAGATTTAATCAGACCGTAGGCAGGACCGAGAGAGAATGATTCCGCAATAGCCTGCTGACGTTCGCCCAGGCGGGTCATGCCGGTGACATTGACTTCGTCAATGAGATCTGCCTTGTACCTGACGTTGAGGTAGCGCTTGTCTGACATCGTTTTTTTTTTTTTTTTTTTTCGTTTCAGTTTTTGTTCAGGTTACAATTTCCGGGCCTATCATAAATTCAATATGGATTCCGACGCAGTTTGCAACAGCTTCGAAACGGATTAAGGACTTGCAGTTGGATTCCGTAATGCGACGGCTTCGCTTGATGGCAGGTGAGGAGTCGTGTGAACAGTTCTTTTCTTTCATTTGTCTCATGGCTATCTCAACGTGAAGCACAAGACACGCGCCATCGCTTAAGTCAATGTCACTGGCATAACCCGGTATTTGCCAAACACAGACTGAATAAATATGAACGGAGTATTTAATAAATAAGTGGCGATAACTCCTGTTTTGATCATCATTGTTTGGCCAAGTGAAATAGTCTCAGGAGCATGTACATTATGGACAAATCTTTGTTATTTTGTTGTAAGCACGGGCAGGAAAGTTTAAACATGAAAAAAAGATGTCACTTTATATGTCACCTTAGATGGGAGCATTGCAGATGTTGAGCTTGTGCAAGATTTCATCTGTCTCTGCTTCAACAGCTGAGTCAAATGTTAATTATTAGCGCAATTGTTGAAAGAAAGACAGGCTCCAAATTCCTCACCTGGGGTTTTATAAAAATGTGCAGCGTCCGGCGCGTCATGCAGGAAGGGGTGTGTTAATTCAAATGTGTTGATGATGCGAACACTTGATGAAAGCTGTAGGGTTGATGACAGAACATGCTCTGCAATGTCACTCCAGATTTTGAGTCTGTATGGGCTTCGCCAGTCCTTTATGATTATTGTTTTTTCATTGACGGCTTTCATGAGAGGATATGATGGAAGCCCTGTATGCAGAATTGTGGAAAAAAAAAACAATGGATGAATACATTTGTTTGCTCCCGTTAAACTCCCTACCATGCCATACAAATATTAGCGGTGTTGCTTTCATGGATGCACGCCGGTGGTTAACTTCCATCATGTTTTCTGCAGCCCATGCAAGCATCGTTTTGAATCTACCAGCCGTAAAGTGGCCTCCAACCTGAATCTAGTTTCAGGAAAAGAAAAGAATGAGTTCGCGCAAAGATCATAACACGTAAAAACATCTTTCACCCCAGACATTGGCCACATGCCAACATTGAACAAGACAGAGTCGTATCCTTTCAGCTTCCGATCAATCTTATTTGTCTCAGGATATGATTCATCTTCGATCCCGCGATATTCCTGATTCAATATATACTCTGAAGTGAACCAGCGCAAGAAACCGTCTCGTCCAGCGAAATCGATCATTGTTCGTCGTTTGAATCGGCTGGGGGCCGTCGGCACATATCTGCCATTCTCCCAAAATGAGTTTTGCTTTTGATCTTGGCAGTAGTAGTTTACGCGCTTTCCCTCATGCACACTGTATTTCAGTGAATCACGCATGCCAGCGAGGCGGCGGTCAGTAACGTCCCAGGATACACGGACTTGCGAATCGCCAAAGAATTTGATGGAGCGATTGTTGGCATGGCATTTGTTGTTGGAACCCAGTTCAAATAATTGATCGTATTTGCATGCAAGTGGGTGCCTGTATGGGAGTTTTTTATTTATGTATTTTAGCGAATTTGCTGGATTCAAAGAAAAAGAGCTGTACCAGTAATACGGGATATTGTAATTTTCCAGTTTGTACTTCTCGTGCTCGAGCATATGACCCTCCACTGACCGCAGATACACGCCTTGGGTTGCGAGAAAGCGATTACATACAGGCAGCGACATAGCCTCTATCGCGTCGCTCGTGAAAGGCTCGCAATGGCCGGAACAGACATCCATTGGCCATTCGGCAAGAAGATGATTGTTGACAGGCCGCAAATATGCACGCTCCTTCTCTTGAATGGCTTCGAAATTGTCGTGAGAATGAATGATTGACACGGTATAATTTCCCGTGTTGGTCAGGCGGAACGGATGTTTGTAGTTGCAGTTTCCCAGGTGGCGCCAGTCGGATGGAGCAGCTCGCTGGGGACCAGAGAATGTGATCACAAACGCGTCCTGGTTATTTTTTAGCGAGGTAAGATCAGACCTTAAAACCCAGGTCGTTTTACTCACGGGACCAATTTCCTTCTTCATCCACGCTTCAAATTCATAGTCCCACGAAATGCTGCGCGCCAGTGCTTTGGTGCATTGCGCCTTGTTCAGTCTCTTTAGCAGAAAATAGCCTTGCCCGCATTCACGCATGGATTGGCACAGTTTGATTTCAAATCCATAGACTTGAGGGGATATCACACGGCAGTTGAGCGAAAAGTCTTTGTCGCCGTGTTCCTTGACATTGAACATCTCCCACTTTGGACAAGTCAGCTTTTGGTTTCGCGGGTGTGGTGGCTGTTCCGGAAGAATATGATTTCTTGATAGTCCAGACAACGCGTCGCTTTCAAGTTTTCCGACGTGCCCAGGAACGAAGCCAGCAAGAATGAGAGTAATTGTGAGGCATGTAGCAGTCATTCCGGCAACTAGAAGCGTGCGGGATGGAAAATGGATGACAGTTTTGGTGTGCTATTTAAGCCGTGTTGTCATCAGCACATTACGCGTTGTTTACAGCCAGCAGTCTCACCTTGTCGTCGTTTTGAATCTTTGAAATGTGGGTGACAGCGAGACTGTAGCGGAACATGGGCTATTTGTTTGTTTTTTTCTTTGATCGGCGCTTGGGAGATTTCGAAAATGATCAAAACAAAAATGAACATACATGTCTGTCTATGTATACATGTATACGTATCTGTCTCTCTAAATCTATTTAACAGTTTATTACATGTCATACTTTTTGAAGATGACTTCCAAGCACGCCCTCCGCATATCGCGTTGGAACCTGAGCACACATGACGAGTTAGCGGACACTTGAGCGATTGCAAAAGGCGTAATATAGTTACCACAGGATAAGAGACGGAGTGACGATAGCGTCCATTGATCCAGCAATGTACACCAACAAATGGAGAGGCGCGAGCGAGGATGGTTCGGAATTCCCTTGCTCGCCGCCATATAATTTTGCATACAAAAGGCAGTAGTACGACATTGCCGGGCTGTAGCAAACCAGAAAACCGATCGTGATCCCCAAACACCCTTTCAGAATAGATTGATCGATATGCATATTGGCTTCAGCGTACGCGCTATCGTTGGTATCGGTATCAGTGCGATTCAAGTTGGCGGCTTTCAATTCGTTCATGATACGCCGCACATGTAGGAATGCCCAGGTATACAAC